ATTCACCGCAACTTGCGCATCCGTCGAGGCTGCCCGCCCGCCGCCCCGCCAGCCACGTTGCCCGTTAGTTCACCGCGCCACGTCAGACCAGACGTTGTCGTGCCTCGGTATGCATACAGAGCCGTGCCTGCGCCTCGCCCTGGCCACACCGGACTGTCAACACCTCTGAGACGCTGCGCACAGTCTGACGGCCCCAGGTTGGTCGCGAGCGGAAAAAAGTCAATTAAAGGTACAACTGATCGATTGACATAAAACGATTAGTTATTCTCAAGATCTTAGTATATCGTGGACTATATGACTAATATTATGACCTCGAACATGAGCATCGGCGTGCTAAACCTTATGAACTATTATAGTAAATATTGAAGTAAAATTAACATGAATAGAAATAAAATTAATATATAATTGTATAATTAGATGGGCGTGACTAAGTGCAGTCTCACCAGCGTGGGTTTGTACTTTGTCCCCGCAGTCAGCACGATGGGACCTAGGTACCGTAAGCTGGTGGAGGCGCACCTCCTTGCCCCCACGCGGTCATTACAGCCATTCCCCCGCCACACATTATTACACGGCACGCTGTGAAGGCCTCTCGCTGCCTCGCCAGTCGGCCGCCGACATCTGGGCGCACTTGCGCGTCAATGCCATCACGGAGGCGGAGGCGACTTCCTCACGCGTACGGCTCGTCCGCGGCACGTCCCCCAAGAACTACCCATTAGACTAGATGCTGCCTCCGCTCGACGATCCCTCGACTCCCATTCCGCCCTAGAGATTCGATGAACCCGCTGGGCCGGGCCGGCTCTCACAATGAGACTGAAACACATCGACATCCAGACGTTAGATCACCGCTAGTATCGCGGATAGCGACTGCCATGGCCGCCTCCTAACCACGGGCCGCGACATGATTTGTCGGCGTCTTCGCACTTCAAGAAGTTTATTGTCAAAGTCCGGGCTACTTTTGAAAACTCTCTAGATTTTTTGCTATATTGGTAATTTTGTCAATAAATTTACCCACTATAGGACAGTGAATGTGATCTATCCCTCAGTCCTCCGCGTACCAGCTTGCTCCCTCCCCCTCACGTGCGCTTTCCCGGAGGCTCCTATCGAGGCGGTACCGCAGCGCCCAGGGCTGTACACGCACCTCGCACAATGGCCCTCGTTTACCCGCACCCGGCTTCATCAACGCTCCCCTCCCGCGGAGTCTCCTCGCCTGCCCCTCTCCTGCCTCTCGTTCTCACACCTCCTTCTCCTCCCTCTCTTCCCTCTTGCTCCCTCGTCTCTCCTTCTCTCTCCCTCTCTCCCTCTCCCTCTCCCAGCTCTCGTCCCCTCCCGCCCTCCCCTTCCCTCCCCTTCGCCTCCCTCTCCCCTCACCTACTTCTCCCTCCCTCCTGTGCCTCCTCCTTACTGCGCTCCTTTCCTCCTCGTCTGTCTCCCTGGCCGCCCTCCGCCGCCTCCTCCGTCTTCCCCCCTCGCCTCCCTCCTCTCCCTACCCTCCCGGCTCGCGTGCGGCGCCGCCCTCCCTTTCCTTCCCCATGCCCTCCCTCCCGTCCTCGCTCACCGTCCCTCGTCAGTACCGTACCACCACGGCGCCGTCCAGCTCAGGCCCCACCGTGAGCTCGACTGCCCTGCTTCCGTGGTCCTACGCTTGCCGGGCGCCTCCCCCTCTTCCCCAGCCCTGCTGACACGCCCTCTCCTCTCCTCTCCTTCGCCTCGCCTCCCCTGCGCTCCTCTCTCTCTCCCTCGACGCTCTCGCCTCTCTCCCTCTCTCCCTCTCTCCCTTCTTCCCTCTCTCCCGGCGCTCGCCTCTCTCCCTCTCTCCCTCCTCGTGCCCTCCCTCCTCGTCGCCTCTCTCCCTCTCTCGCGAACTCTCTCCCCTCTCTTCCCTCTCCTCCTCCCCTCCCCCCCTCCCTCGCTCTCTCCTCTCTCCTCTCAATCTCCCCGTCTCCCTTCTCTCCCTCCCTCCCCTCTCCCTCTCTCCCTCTCTCCCTCTCTGGCCTCTCTCTCCCCTCCCGCTTGCCCTCCCTTCGGCTACTTCGCCTTACCACGCGACCCTTGGACTGCACCTCTCTGATTTCGTGTCCAGCTTGCACGTCCTCTCCCCTCTCCCAGTCGCTACAACCTCTCCTCTGACGACAGAGCGAGGCAGTTGCTTCGCCGCGAGTTGTAACCAGCGCTTCTTCCTATGAAACACGGGTGTTTGGATGCTCTCTACAGCGTGGGGAGCAGGAGACGGAAGTCTGTGCTGCCCTTCCCACGCCGACGAGCGCCTTCCGGCGACAGGTGCACGGGAGTACTAGAACAGTCTACACGTGTCACTCATCCTCAAGCTTGCACGAACCTGCACCTGATAGATAAGTAATCACGATGCTCGTCGCATAATTGCATGTGAAGTAAGGAGCGTCTCCTACCCGCACGCATAATCGCTGAATATAAACCATGTCGAGAGGCCCTCTGCATATATGGGAGCCTGTTCCATGTTAGGCCACCGATACCGCTCCTTTCTCGATGCTGCCACTCGGCGGCTATACGACTCTGCAGCATCAATCACCCATTGTTCCACAAGAAGCAATGAGGCTGCTTCCCCTGACGATGTCTCGCTCATGCCGGACATTGCCGCAATAGGACTACACCC